ACAGAATTCTTCCTATAAAGTAAGAATGCTCAAATCCCAGGTCTAATATATAATTGGAATGCTGTCCATACAGATAGATTGATTTTAAGCTATTGTGCAGAAACAAATAAACAACATTTCAGTCTGAAAAACTCACAAGAGGAGAAAAGACAATTAAGAGAAATTTATTGAGACAACTACAGTACTTTGTCTTTGGCGCTCAGACCTCGCCAGGAAACATAGCACTGACTTTGATAGATATGCATGAACAGGAGCAAAGAATAGGGCTCTTTCCTTCCAGGCCTGAAACTGGTGGTGGAGTGGAGATAGATGAAGTTGGTCAGTCTGTAGACTGCTGGTTAGCGAGGTGGTCTGCTGAGCTTATGGGGAGATCCAGTGGATTGTGTGAGCTGATACTAGAGCTTCACTCAGGGACCTGAAAGATGGAAATCCAGTTGGATAACACAGGTAGAAACCTGTCCATGATGAGCAAGCATGAAGCAACAGTGGAGAGGAAAAACTCCACGTTGGGAAGAAACCTCTGGCAGAACCAGGCTCAACATGGCGGTCACCTGCTGAATCTGTTGAGATGAGACAGGGAACGCAGTAAGAGTCTGGGAGGAATGACACTCTGATGAAGCTTTAGCAACGATGGTGGAGGAGGGGCTGGAGGTGGGTTGAAATGGTGTCATCTGAAGGAAGTCACACAGTGCCTCCTGCGCACAGGAGCAGACTATTGCGGATCGGAGGCCTTTTAAGAACTTAAGATGCCGATTGGCTTTCGTTGAGGTGTGGTTCAAAGCTGACTGGCTGTGTCGCATGTGGATGTAGGAGGGCAACAAATTTCTTCAGTTGAACTTCTACCCAGGCTCCATTTGACCCCCAGTTTTGCATCTGCCTTCCCTCTACTGGTGTAGGAAACCCAGAGGAGCTCCAAGGGCAGGGTGACCAGATGTCCCAATTTGTGTAGGACTGTGCCGATTTTTTCTTTGTCCCACTCTCCCACAGAGTAAAATAAAGTCCTGCATTTGACTTGGTCCCAAAGAAAAAAAAAAGATTAACAACTGCTTTTCCTACATGCAAAGAGTCTTTGTCATCATCATAGAGCTACGCCAGCAAAACCTCAGGATGATGCTAATAAAACAGAAGAGGTAAAGGGGTGGGGGGAGTCAATGTAAAGCATCACAGTAAAAGTAAGTAGAAAAGGGAACACACAGCTGAAGAAGAAGCATTTGTCTTTGTTTGTGTCTCATAAGCATCCTAGATGTCCCATGTTTGTTTTTTGTTTCCTTGCCACAGTGTAAGCTGGGGGTGAGCCCAAAAGATCTTTAGCTAAAATTGAACTGAATGGCAGATCTACAAAGGCGCTCTTAAAACAAATACATAGTAAAATTCTCTATATTTCAGAACACAACACAGTTCTTAAAAATTTTTATATCTTTTTGTAGTTCACAATTACGCACAGTTTTTATTTTTGTTTAACGTAAATTCTCACTTAAATGCAGTGAATTTCTCAAGAGTTTTCTTTTTGATTTGCAATTCACAATAAAAGGGATACATGTTAAACTGTGCTTCTATATTTTCTTGTAGCATATTCTACCTATACCTACGGTGGCAGACAGGTTTTGGTCTTTAGCCCTCTTTTTCTCATTCTTGTTCTGAGAACAGGGAAGCATTTTGTTCCAATTAGTTTCAGTAGACAAACCAGCAGCCACCCAGCCAACCCCCAGGATTATTACATCTATCACACCTACCATCCTCCTTCAACCGATTATCATACAACTGCGCTTCAGGCAAAGGTGAACAATAATGCACAAAAAGAGTAGCTTGTTGGAAAGGACAATGGGGAGAAGGAGCTGCGTGTACATAGAAAACTAAGTATGGAAAAGTAAATATGGTAACACAGCTAAACCAAATCTTAACAGATATAAAGGAAAGGCAGACAATATTTAAGACCTTTCTGATTTCGATCCCATGAAAGCTAAAAAATATATAAACAAAATGTTAGAGTGAGCTGCAGGCTTTCCATAATACTTAGCCATTGCAGAGCCACAGATCAAACAGTCTGTAGTCACACTAACAGAGGCGCAAACCGCATGGGTGAACCCAGTTTTGCATCTGAACAGCTTCTCAAAAATAATCAGACAGCATGTTCTTCCGAAAGAACATCACAAGGCAAACTTTCATATGATAAATGCTAAATGGCCTGTACTTATGTAACCCTTTTTCAGTCATTCACCTATAACACTCACAGTCACACACCAAGCTACAAATGGAGGTAAACTACTTAGTAGCCACAGCTGTCCTGGGACAGAAGCGGGGCTACCGTACACTGGTGTCACCAGGCCTTATGACCACCATCAATAGGCAATGCACATAAAATGTCTTGCCCAAGGGCACAACTGCACTGAAAGCCTTGAAACGACAACCCTCTGGTTGCAGTGCAAACTCCTACATCCGACTCCACTGTTGGGTTAATCAAACCTTTCTTTATGCATTCTGTATTAAAACAAATAAAAATACTGTCTTTAGAGATTAATAAGTCCGTCACAAAAACTGTGACCAGGAAGTCTGAGTAATGAAAGAGCCCCCGGTTTATAACTGTTAATAAGGCACACAATGCAAGAACACTGCGTCCTCTGTATTTTTTTTAGCCGTTGTTTGACAAGGTGTTGATTAATTTGACAAATAATTAATTTAAACTTGGCATGACACTATGAAACTATGGCTGTCTTGCTCTTTTATAGAGAAAGCTGTTTGTGTCAATCACTTTCTACAGTAAATGTTTCCATATAATACTCATAAACTTTATCACCACCACATGAGAAATGCCTTGTAGAAGGGATGCTAAATTACATAGATGGAAAGCCTGCCTCTTTCTTATGGCCTTAACATCAAATAAAGGGCCAAACTTAAAAAAAAACTATCTTGCAAAGATGCTTAAAAAACGTCTTTGCCATTAAGTCTTGTATTGTCTTTTATTTTAGAAATGGAGCTTTCTGTGTTTGTCACATGGTAAAAGAGGGAACAGATTTTCTCATCTGTTTATATAGATTTTTTTTGTATGATTCATGTGAAAAAAAGCTTAAAGATATGATGACGTTTCCCCCCTCTGCCAGATAATCAGTGCTGACCTATTAAAACTGAAATCTCCAATGGACCTTTGCAGCAGTGTGAGGTTACCTCTTTTTTAAAACTCTTAACCATTTTCCAGTACCTGAGAAATAAGCCCCTTTTCACTGTACACACATGCACCTCAGTGGACCATTTTGTAAAACTCCTGAGGTTTACAGGTGACAGCAAAGTCAATGGTCTGATCCAGGACAACACAGCTGTCTAGCTCTTATTCATTGCTGAAGCTAAACCTGCCAGAAAAAAAGTGACAATGAGGATGGAGCTCACCCCCCGCACTGCCTCCCTCACCCTACTGAAAGACACCCTGTCGACTGTGGACTACTTTTAAGGAAGGACCCTGTCTAATAACCTGAGTTGGTCTATACACAGACTGTACGGAAGAAGGCCAGGCAGATGTTGTATTTCCTGACTACTGTCACTATTCCACTGTTAGTTAAAAAAAAAAAAAAAATTAAATGAATTCTACATGACAGAATGCCATTGTATAACTTGAAAATGGTGCAATGTCAACTGAGGTACTAGTTTTATGGAAAGCAGAAAGCACAATCTTTACATTATTCAATTTAGTGTGTTATAAAACCATACAGTGCCTGCCTTGCAGCAGGATCACTCATTTTAAAAATATATAAACACATTTACATTTGATTATATACAGCACCTACAGTATATGTTTCACTTGTTTTGAAAGGTAGATATGTTCAAATGTATTAACTCTCTAAATTAAATGTCCAATAATAATTTTGAAAAAAAACTTTCAAGTATTTTCCTAATTAAGTTATATTAAAAAATCTGCCACCAATGCCATGCCATCTTAAACACAGTTAGAAAGTACACCGATGGTAACAAATAACACATTTAAAAACTGTTTTTTAATTTATGGGTTGACATTTTTTATTTTGTCATACTTGGTAATATCTATAACTTAGGAATTGCTTTTCCCTGGTTCATACTGAAATATTATTTTTAAAGCATGTACCAAAGGATAACAAGAAGAAATATTTTATTGTAGGGGGGCCCTCATCTAGGCATTTTTCATCTACTTTTATAATCAAACAAATATATCTATGTTATTTATCTTTTCATTTAAAGGGACTGCTCCGAGCTGTGTTATATTTGTACCCCTCCTCCAACTCTATTTGTCTTCTCCACCATTTTCTCTCAATCTGTCTTAATCTCATTACTAAAGTCAATGGCTTACCTGTTTGGTCCACCCTGATAAACAAGACTATTAGCCCGCGGTGACCCTCTGCAATTTTGACTCTATTACTATTTCCAGGTCCCAAGAAAGGCAATGCTGTAGCCTACAAAGACTGTGTATGATTCTATGCATTATTTAGGGAAACCCTGATACACAGTTACATGAGAAACCAAGTTATAATATAGTAATACATATAGAGGCCTGATTAAGTGTGCAGAGATTAAGATAAAATAAAAGATTTTAAGGGTTATTCTAATATTCATTTATTTACCCAGAAATCATAAAATTCTTAATGAATACGGATGTAGGCACTTTAAAACTTCATTCAAAAAGTAATTCACAGGAAACCCTATCACACAGTGAATAAGAAACAACAAGCACATTTTCTCAAATTATTTAGCAAATATCAGAGACAATAAATATAAAATCATAATCTGCTCAAGCTAAACCTACATTTAAAAATTGATCTAATTTTGGTTACAATAAAGAGACTGTAAATACTACTAATATTCATTTGGATTTAAAAATATAGCCTAAAATTACCTCTCTCCATAGAGATAATTTCTACCAGTATGGAAAACTTGGTATTGCTTGTTAATTTTGTTTTTTGTTTTATGCTTGAGGAGGTACAAACTTTTTTCACCATTAATTATCTCTAAATCTTAAAAGAAATATGATGTGTAAGATAACCCAAGGTGGTTTAAAATATCACTAAAGGTTGTGGCTCAGTGCATAATAGTCATAGATGCCACTGTCTTAAAATATCAGTTTGTTTTCTTCAACCAGAAAATAGACAATTTTCTTCAGTTTGAAGTGGACTCTTCAGGTTTGGGTAAAGCCCATGTGCTTTAGCAGAAAAACACATTTGCACACTTAGAAATGAGCTAAACAAAGAACCGTTGTTGTCACTGTACAGATTAGCTGCCAAAAGAACCACATTTCTAGCTTTGAGTAGAGATCATCACATTCTGCCTTTCATCGGTGCTCACTCATCAGGAAAAGGAGGCACTTGTTTTTTCTGTAGGAGCAGTGCTGTCAAAGAAAGTGCCTCCAGGAGGGTTAACACTTTCCAAAATATGATGGTGATGGCCGTTCATTTCTCCAGGACAGGGAGGGGCTGTTGAATAGAGAGCAGATTTCATGAGGATTACTTAGACATGCATGAGTCAAGCAAAACACCACTTTGCATTATAACATAGTTGAAAGCTCAAACTAGTTGATTTTGCACGATACAGGCCCTCAAACATGTGATTTACTATTTTTGATGGTCACATATATTACACAGGGATCTATTGAGATATATGAATAAAATCTCCATATGGCATTTATAAAGTATGTGCTGTTAAACTTACTACTCTTCCAACTGATCCATGACCTTTTATAAATCGTCAGGAGTAGTACCAGTGTAAGCATTTGATTTTGCGAGTACTCATCTGGAAGTCCAGTTCATAAAATAAATGCACAATACTCTGCTGGAAAAGCAAAAACAAATAAACAAAAAAAAAACACCTCCATTTCTCTTTGGATTTCTGAAATAACCCCTGTATTCCTTGCAAAAAATATTGTATTACCTGAAACAAAAACCTGACAAATGTTAAAAACGTCTTGCAATGCAATCTAAAATAAAATCGGAGCTAATGTACTTAAATTACATGTCCGAATTTTGATGATGATCTCAGAAGATTCTCAGAAGGCAGAGCTGTTCAGGTTGGTGTGTGTGTGTCACCTATGTCCTCTGATTACAGGGTGTGACCAGCAGGTCTGTCCTCCAGCTGGAGCTTATTAAGGACAATCAGCAGGAGCTTAAAGAGGAGTGGGCTCCCCGGGGCAGATGCCAGATTGTTTTGCTCACATGAGTGGTAATCAAGCGTTCTATTTCTTGTATCTCTTTACGCTCATTGAGTTTCTGACAATCACCATCTCTGTCTTTTGTTCACATAAAGTTCAATTCCCTTGTTGATGTTCTGTTCCTGAACTGCAGAGTTCTGTCTTCCTCCTTGTTCCCTGCATCTGTTTGAAAAACCCTCCTCAGACTACCACCTTAAATCCAATCATTGTTACCATCGCTGCCCTCCTTGAAGCACCTCCCTGAACTTCTCCTTGCTCACTCACCTGCCTGTTTACCCTTCAGTTTTTATCACTCTAGCCTGGAAATAAAACAGCCAGTCCCAGTCCTATTGTGGATACTGATCTCCTTCTGGAACAGTATTTTGTCCTCCACTAGTAAGACACATTTTTTCAATATATAATGAATGTACTGTTTAGGGATGCAAACATTCACCTGTACAAATTTACCAGTATACCTTCCCTTCCAAAACTGTCTCTTAATGTCTAATTGTTGGCAGAAATAAAGATCCCCTTGTTAACAAACATGTCAAAACCTGGTGACAGCATTCTGAACGATCGGTAACTGGTCTATATTTTTTCCCCCACTACAGAAGTCTTAGGTAGACATGTGTATAATGCGTTACCATAAACAAGACATGAGGGAACAAAAGCATGAACTATCATCAAGTTCAGGACAAGACATAAAATAATGGACGAAAACTGGAATATGTTTGAAAATCACAAAAGCAGATCAAAACATAATTATTCAAGTAAACGTAAATCTTAGATTAAAAACTATCCCATGGTTTTAGGAAAAGGTGGTAAATATGAGTTCACATCTCCCCCGCCAGTTAGTAGTGCACATGCACTCATTTTCCAAACTTTTTGCCAACCAATTGCCATTTCTGCTAATGCTAATCCAATGTTAACCAAACCAAAGATTTAACTTACTGGTTCAGTCAAAAATCAACAATCTCCACATGTCTTCTGAGCCCCTTTGCTTCCTTTAACTGGCAACAATTGACCAATGTTTACTCTTGTTTTGTTTCTTTTTTTGGCAGGAATCTGAGAAATGTAATGCAGAGAAAAAGCAATTTCTCAGCTCTATCTTGGCGCTACTAAGATGTGGCAATGCTGTAACTTAATGTTGACGTTTACTCTAGACGTTCTGTGGAAGTAAGTTTTAGCCATGACCTTTAAATACAGTTGTGGTCGGAATCACAGCTTAAATGAAAGGTAATTAAAATCTAGATTATTCTGAAACTAGACTGCGTTTTGCATTACACAATAAGTTTGTCATCAAAAAATGGTAGCAGTTTAAATTGTAAGACTCCTTGGCATGGGATGTCATTACGTCGCTATGTATAACCGTCATCTGATTATGACAATTTGATATGATTTTGTGACAACTAACACTTTTTATTTAGATCTTCCTCGATAATTGCACTACGAACAAGACCTCAGTGAAATAATCACCCAAAAATCACTTCAATGTAAACATTGATTTAATTTACTCAATGATTTAGTCCCACAACAAAGAAGAAAAAAGAAATGACTTTCTGAAGGGCTTACACCTAATTTATCAAAGGCAGTCCAATGTTGCAGGATCAGAATCACTATCAAACTTCATGCAGGCGTTACATCGAACTTTACCTGCATTACTGCATTATGCACATCTATAGTATATTGGATAGTATGTATAAAGCTACAGATATACACAGAGACCCAAAATACAAATCTGTGATGTTATTTATATGGATCAAGACTTTTACAAGTGAATATCATTTATTTTCTCCATATCAAGGCTCTGTGTCTGTGAATATTATGAAAGCTTTGCAGGGACTTGACAACAGACAGAATTCCCAAATATTAAAAGGAATGTAATCAGAATCCCAACACACTGCGATTGACACCTAATAGCTCAGAGTTGCTCTTTGCCCGTGTTTGCTTATGTTTGCACCATGGCACCTAGTGAAGAAAACACATGTACAGATTCCAGCTTTAAGGCCTCATTTGGGAAACATTGTCTTACACAAAGCTCTTGACTGAGCTTTCATGTCAGTCTCTCAGTAAAATATTAGACTTTATTGGTTTTCCAGCTTGGTTTACTGTCAAGTTGAGCACTATTCTCTGTTATGATGAATATACAAATCACAGAAAAATGTCAAACACCGCTGTGCTGAAAATGTAGGCTGGGTGGTCCCTGCTGTTGTGTGCACAATTTCCAGACTTACATGGTTCAAAAATATTACATTGGGAATGTAGAATTGTTAATGCACTTTTTAGCAGTAACAAATTTGTACAGGCTTTATTTCAAACTGCATTACTTTTAGATATGAAAGCAGATATTATTGTCCTCTTAAATATTGTTAATAAATTAAATTAATACATAATAAAGAGGAAACATAAATTTGTCCTGATGCACCAAAGTTGTGCATATTTATTTATGTACATGTCACCCAAGCTCTAAACATACTTGCTCTTTTACACAAACATAAATGCACGTATTGTGCAAACACATGCAAGCACAGCCGGGGAGAGCCATATATATAAGCAACTGTATGAAATCTGCACTCCCACTCTGCCTACTGACCAATCTGGCAGCACACTTGCCATCAGCCCTGCCATCTGCCTGGCTCTCAGCAGCTTGTTTAGAGGTTAATAGCTTCATGATCCCTCTATCAGTCCTACCCATATTCAAATGGCTAATTCTTCCTCTCTGGCAGCAACAAGCAAGGCCTGTGGCGCAGCTTCCTCTGCCCATTTTCTGCATGATCAGGGCTATCATCCTGACAGCAGTCTCTACTTGTTGCTGGACATGCGATATCTTACCATAATAGATCTTACAAAATGTGCAGCCGCAACAAAATGACACATCTGGAGCCGGTGGAGATAGATCAATAGCCAATTCTCAGAGGTATCAGGGTTTGTAACAGACTCTATCACTCTTACCAACTAACAGCTCCCACTTTGAGAGCAGCTAAATTGTGGCATGCCTCTCAGAGGGCAGCTCAACACTTAGATGAGAGAGAGACAATTTTATGACCATTTTACTTAGAATTTATTGTCAAATTTCTGATAAAACGTTAAGTGTTGTAAACTATACTTTTTTCATTCTCAACCACTCACCCACCAAGCACAAATTGGTTGAAAAGACACTGAAAACACGACACGATTTACATCCAAACGACATCTACATTTGTTTAAACAATATAAAGTACAATATGAAACCAGTAATTTTTAGATCGTTGAAAACACATTGGAACTTTGGCATATAAGGTACTGGTTAATAAGAACCGATAAGAGTCGATATCACAAGTGAATTTCTCCATTGTTAGATCAGACCAAGACAGCATTTATTGTCATTTTGTATACACAGAACAATCATGTAAGCTGTACAAAACGAAAATTTGTTTTGTACAGCTCTCATGACATTTCGATTTTCTTTAATTGCAGCAGTGATCAAATGTAAACATTGTAGGAGAAAAAACATGGTGTAAAAAAAAAAAACGCATCGATATGGTCAGTTTGATGGAGAGTCTGTGACATGATTTAGAGTTTTTGTAACATTCAGCTGTCTAATGGCAGTGGGGAAGAAGCTGTTACAGAACCTGCTGCAACTGCATGGAAGTCTGCAGAGTCTCTTCCCAGAGGGCAGCAGGGAGAACAGTCCATGGTGGGGGGGTGAGAGGTCATTGATAATGTTAAGGACTCGGGACATGCAGTGTTTGGATGAAATGTCTTTTACAGAGGGAAGAGGAGCCCCAATGATCTTCTCTGCAGTTCTCACTACTCATGGGAGCTAGATCGATAAAGTTCTAATTTATTCTGTGAAGAGCAAGGACTCTATGGTGTGTAATAAACCTGAGAGTGCCATGACATGACTAAGCATTAATAGATATCAACAAAGCATTCATGTATAATCACCTGTATCAATAATCAGAAGAAAGGGTAACACCCTTAATTTCTGTTTAAATGTTAGGTTAAAATCTTGCTTAAGGCGACTTCCCCAAGCAGAGCAGAGCAGTAATCATATCATATTCATAAATTAAATATTCTGTACCAGAATCTCTCAATCCCCCCCCACCATATATGGTAAATATGTTTACCATACATGAAGTTGAGGTGAATGCTGACTCTTCTAGTTCATAGATCAGAATTAGCAACCCTTAATATGTTTTAGTATCCATTAACTTGCTTCCAGCTTCGAAAAAGGTTATTGAACTGTGTCATGCACAGTTCAATAACCTTAAAAATCAGAATAACTAACAGCTTAAATAGGAAATATAT